TAGACCTGCTGTGTTCTGGGTCAGGGTTCTGCTGTAGACCTGTTGTGTTCTGGATCAGGGTTCTGTTGTAGACCTGTTGTGTTCTGGATCAGGGTTCTGTTGTAGACCTGCTGTGTTCTGGGTCAGGGTTCTGCTGTAGACCTGTTGTGTTCTGGATCAGGGTTCTGTTGTAGACCTGTTGTGTTCTGGATCAGGGTTCTGTTGTAGACCTGCTGTGATCTGGATCAGGGTTCTGATGGACCCAGTTCGGTCCAGAAGATGAAAACTGTAGAGTCTGAGGTGGAGCTCATTGCACAGTCTGACCTTCAGGGTGAAAGTTCTCTGTCCTCTAAATGACCTTTGACCTTCCTCTGAGGTCTGCAGAGGATCAGTTCTGGTTCTGGACCTGGTCCTGGACCTGGTTCTGGACCTGAGATCCTATAAAGAACGACTCGGTGGAACCTGGTGTGTCCTGCAGCTTCAAATCATCTTTTTTATTTTTGTTTTTCAGGAAAGTTTGGAACTGAGGTGGGTTTCCTGCTGGTCCTGCAGGTGGTCCAGGTCTCGGTGTCGGTCTGGGCCTGTTTCAGGGTCTTCAGTCAAGCCTCGAGTACCGACCTTCAGGTCGCCGTAAGAAACTGAACTGGGATCAGATCAGGAGAAACACGGTTCTGGTCCGACCCGGTCCGACCCGGTCCGACCCGGTCCGACCCGGTCCGACCCGGTCCGACCCGGTCCGACCCGGTCCTCCAGTCTTCACTGATCAGTTCTTCCTGCCTGAGATTTGCACCGTTAATCTGGAAACACGTTAAAATATTAGATTAAAATCTGAATCTTTTCAAATGAAGAGAAATAATCTGTCAGGGCAGTAAAATAATCTCACTTCTTACAGTGTTTCCAGATTAACAAGATTAATAATCCAACATGTTCTGCTCTTGTTCAGTTAATCAGGCTGAGAACTAAAACACCTTCAGACAGAAATAATCGATAGAGATAAACAGATTGATTTAAAACAGGGACAATAAACAGACGCTGGATCAGGTTGYAGCTCTGGGTCAGGGCTCTGCAACCTGTGGTTCTGGGGCCACGTGTGGCCAAACAACAGAATAAATGTTTGTTTTGGTTTTTATTCTCACAACAAATCAATTTGTAAACAAAATGTGATCAATACAGAAAGGAAAACATGCGAGCTCATGCTAACCTGTTATCTCTTTCTATAATCTTTCTCTCAAATCCATCAGAATTACCTTTAAATTATTTGAAAACTACATAATGAGAATTAGAAAAAATATGCCTGAATAGTTCAATTGTACCAGTTTTTATGAAATTAGGTGTAAACTATGTACAGTATTTGTCTCGTTTACATCAATCTGGTCTTTTTATTTGTCCTGATGTGAATAATAATAAATAATATAATGATAACAACAATATTGTTTTAGTTTTATAATGTCATCTCCACTGACCGTAAGGGTTTCCAAAAAGGCCTCGAAAAGGCCCGCGGACCAGCAGTTGATAATCACGTTGTGGCTTGTTTTGTGTCTCCAGACACGTTTTATTGGTGAGACCAGGAGCACAAATGGCTCTTTTGATCATAAAGGTTGTTTCCACCTGTAGTCCCTGACCCAGCTCACACAATACTTTACTTAAAAGTTAAAAAAAATAAGTAAATAAAAAATAAAAATAAAAAAGCAGCTGGATGCTATTCAAACAGAAAAACATAATTAAAAAGCATCACAATACAAGAGCAGACAGTCATAGTCAATATAAAATCAATCCATAATATCCACACTCCAAAAATATGTCATCGTAGACGCCAACTCGTTTATTAAAAACACATTAAAATGTAAATAATTTCAGATTCCTCTTCAACCGTTCATACTCTCACAGTCACAAACTCCACTCACATCAGTTCACATGATGAGAGCAGGTCTGAAGCCGTTGTTTTATGCGTGAAAACGTATGAAGGTCTGAACGAATCGACAGTTCTGTTGGTAAAGTCGTCCCCTGATGTGTGGCAACACTTAAAAAAGCTGATTTACCAAAAGAAGTTTTACATTTGGGAACTCTACACTCAAACAGTTGGAGTGACTCGAGATGTTTTTCTAGAACTGAGGGATACGAAGTGCAGCTGAGCCATGAATATTCTTGAAAAGCAGACGTGTGTTTGTGTATTTGATGAAGTTCTCAAAACTAAGAATACTTGGCCAGAATATGGCAATGATGAAACAACAAACAAGAGTAAGACTTGGTCAGACGCACAGTTTTTGCAGTGTAGGTGTGTATAAATGTTAAACAGGTGTTTGTTTCACCTGTGGTTTCAGTTCTAACGACAGRTTAATGTGCAGGTTTTAAAACAACAAACTGAACAGGAAGTCTGTGAAAAGCAACGAAGCGCAGAAACCAAGAAAAACAGGAAACCAGTGAAGCGCTCTGAGAAGCACAAGAACAAAAAGGGAAGAAGAGAAAAATAAATTAATAATTAGGGTGAACAGATGGAGCAGGAGGTGGAGCCAAGGATCAGTAATGAGGRCGTTGCTTCGGTCGGTCAYGGTGAAGAAAGAGTTGAGTCTATAAAGTACTTTAAAAAAATAAGCAGTGTTGTATAAAGTACCACAAAGTCATACTTGAGTAAAAGTATCTTACCAAAAAATTTCTTTGGTAAAAGTTAAAGTCTCCTTTAGGAATATAACTTGAGTAAAAGTCTTAAAGTAT